AAATCTGCTATTATTTCACTCTCTCCCACTACTTTTGTGGAATTGGACCGTGGGATTGATAATTTTCTAATGCAATACAGGAATGCCGTTCATTCCGTTACTGGGAAGAGTCCCGCACTTCTATTGAAATCTCGTTCGTTGCGTACAAGCCTTGACTGTGCCAAAACGGCTGATGTTACATTTTTCAAAGGCGATGATTTACGACCTGCTACAGGAATAGCTTCTTCATCAAACGGCAAACTAGTGGTCATAATTCTCAATTTGGATGATCTCTGTTGTCACCAGAGACTCATTGACCAGGTGGAGTTCAATACCAGAGGTCAGTCTGTTAACGGCACTCCTTCTGTTTCAAATTCTAATGAGTCCTTTGTAGATGATCTTACGGTATCCGACCGAAACGTGCTTGAGGAACACAACCTGTGAAAAGTCTGAAATTTCCATTCCAAGAAGATCCGAAAGATTGCGATCAAGTCCACCTCTGGACTATAAACATCCACACGCTCATTCGAGTTGTGGCGGATATGATGAACATGATTAATACTCTATTCATTGCTCTATTCATTGTTCTCTTTTTTTAATATTCCATATGCTGTACACATACGCCAATTCAAATACATGCGTGCTACTTGTTGCGCTGATCAGAATTCTGGATTTCTTGTTTGTCTGGTTATACCGGTATACGTGCAAAACTTAATTCTCACAGCAACCCTCCCAAGAGCTATAAGGGAGAATCGGAGACCGATATTCACGGGTTAATTGAGATAGACAGTAGCACAATCTGCCAGCGCTGCGCGATAAAGTGAGGCAACCAGTATGATAACTGTCACGCCTACCCTCTTACTAGTTACATTAGAAATTATAAGGCCATTTTACTCAAGTTACTTCGGACGAGTTGTGCTAGACTTTTGTGATTCATAGCCTACGTGCCTCAGGTTCCAGCATCATTGTTGGCCGTGAATATGACCAGCCAGCTGAACTCAAAGGCAAGTGCCAGAACGGGGCTATGCTCTAACGCTGGCCTCCAAATAGTTATATTACCATTTACTGAGGCGACCCACTATTTTAAAGCGGCACTTTTGGTAGACATCCACAAAGCCCGGTCCACTGAGTAGCATGGCTCATAATATAAAGATTCTTTCTGCGCAATTATGGTTCATTTTGCGCATAATTGTATTGGTCTGTGACTGACGGAGTTGGGGGCACAATGATTGTGCAGAAAAAGTATTTTATTAGAACAATGAGGGTCAGAACCATATAGCCCCTTTGGCTGCGCCGCTACTTGTTGATCCTTTACTATTAACGGATGCAGTCAACCGATAACGAATAAGGCTAAAATAATTCAGTTCAAGAGGCACAAGGTTTCATCCATTTTTGGGTGAACTGGATATGGCGCCACACAGGTGGAAGACTGTTGCAAATTCATATATATTTAAAATTGCCCCCAATCTTGTATGACTGCCTTCCCGGTTAACAATTCAAAAGGACCGCCCTTTTTGAACTGGTGGAATTGAACTCTATTTCAGTTTTACAAGACATCCATATTTTCCGTTTTCCTTACCGCGCAAATCGTTTTTACCGCTTTGATTATACTATTTTTGTACCAAAACCTTGGGCAGGTATATATTGTTTTAATTCATGAGTTTGAGACGCGGTTTCGGTCACGCGTTGACTGTTGATCCATATCGGCTTTGCTTGCCTTTTGGAGTACCTCACCGTTTGTCGAAAACCGTTGAGGTTTGTAATTTTGTATTCCGTGTAACTACTTTCATTTTTTATAGTACAGCACATTTGCGTAGCCATTCGTTCGGAGTTTTGCCGGTTTGGTTGCTAACCTTGGTGCTCGTTGCTCAAGAATTCGAAACGGTCGTTACAGTACTCAACGTTGACAAGCGTGGTTCTCTGGATGCCAATCACCAGGTCAATGTCGGTCAATTCAAAACGAGAAGAAGAATTTGAGAAAAAAGTCAGGCAAGTCGGACACGGTTCGTTTTCAGCGATGAGCTCTAGGGCTAGTATAGCTTCTAAGATTAGTTTGGGGAATTCGGGGTCCAAAGCTGCTTTATTGTTAGCACAGCTTAAAGAGAGACAACTTAAAGAGGAACTCGAGCTTGAGTCGGAGGCGATGAAAACTAACCATAAAAAACAACTCCTGAAGGCTAAAGCCGAGGTGGAGTTGGCTGAGCTGGAAGCTTCGTTGGCTGGAAGCGAAGACGGCTTAGAGCAGTGCAACCGGTCAGGTTTTTTAGAGTCCTCAAAAAGTCGCATCAAAAGCTATGTCGAAGATTGCAGAAAGATGGTAACGCCATTGAACTCTGAAAATCGACATAGTCTCGGAGTAGGAGAACGACAGCATAATGGATTAGGTGACATCCGTCATCTGAAATCCATTATAGAGTGCCTGGAGTTGCCTAAAATCGGCCTCATGCAGTTTGATGGTCAACCCAGGAGATATTGGAGGTCTATGCGTCAATTCGAGCTTTACGTCGAAAGCAAGACCCAAGACGGGGGAAAGAGGCTGGTACAATTGGTAAACGCGTGCTCCGGTGTAGCCAGGGAGGCTATCCAAGATTGCCTCATGCTTCAGCCTGCGGATGGTTATGAACGAGCCCGCCGCATTCTGCACGAATCTTTTGGAAGTTCTCATGTGGTTGCTAGGGCCCTGATAGATAATCTCATTAAATGTTTTCGTTCTACCTCGTGTAAGGCAAGAGACCTGACTCAGTTGGCCTTCAAGATGCAGAGTTGCGAAATAGCTCTGCCTCAGATAAACTACAGTGCAGAACTGAGTTCCCTGGAGAATTTGGATCTGGCAGAATCCGTTACGCAGAGAGACCAAGGTGTACGTGGCCAAGCTGTTACAAATGTAGGCAAGAGCAGAACCGCTTGGAGTCGTGCGATCTTTCCCCCAGATCAGGCCCCACTGTTGAGCGAAATCGGTTGTAAGGTTTGTGGTGGTAAACACCGTATCAGCAACTGTGAGCGCTTTCTGTCTTTCGAGCCAGTGGAAAGATGGTCCACCTTAAGGTCTCTCAATGCGTGTTTTCGGTGTCCTGAAGGCGGCCACAAAGAGAAGGACTGCCAACTCCAATATCGATGTGGAGTAGATGAATTCCGAGCCAAACATCACGCTCTGCTACATTTGAGACCACTAGATAAAAAGCAGAGTTAGTTCCTGTGGTCCAAAGCAATGCAATGACTGACCGCAAGACGGCTGTTTCCCTAGGACTACTTCCGGTTCGTCTGAGAGGTCCTTCGGCAGAACTGATCACGTATACCTTCTTAGACAGTGGGTCCGATATAACTATCGTATGTCATAACTTGCTGCACCAACTCGGCATAGCGAGTCATCGAACGCCGCGTGAAATACAGACAATCAGTGGATCTTGTTTAGCAGTAGAAGTAGAAGAATCTGGAAGTTTCGAGGTGCGTCCAATTCGCCGCGACGAGGTTGTTTTAGTGAAAGGTGCTTCAGTAGTATCTGGAATCCTCGGAAATTGCAAGTCGCTGGGCTCATCTGAAAGAATTGCCCTTTGAGGATATTCCTTCTGAATCGGTTGGTATATTGACTGGCTGTGACGTTCCAGAAGCTCACGGGGTGCTAGATCAGCGGTTGGGAGGTCGAAAAGAGCCATTTGTCGTAAAGACGCCGCTGGGTTGGGTTATTCTTGGGCCACCGGGTCCAGGTAACCGTGTGGGAGTCGCCGCCAGCTGCCTGTCGTCAGTGGAGCCATCATTGGGGGGTCATCTCCG